GTTGTACATATTTACTAAAAATTAATATTCTTTACTTTTGTATTAAAAAGAAAAACCGAATGTACCCAATTTTAAAAAATTTCTTTGTGATTTCAAAACAGTATATGCAAAAAACGATGAATTTGGATATTTTGTTTTTTTTTTATTGAACACCTTGTACATTTTTACATACAACTTGCCAGAATTCATTTTTTCCGCGCGTTTCAGATGCAACTGAACAAAATGAATTTGGTAAAACAGTATTTGGACATAATGTTTTATCAGGATTACAATGATACAAAGTTTTTTAGATCTATCTCCAATAATAAAGGAGTTGTAACCAAAACAGCCTCTTTTAAACGAATTGAGTTTGTGGTTGATTTCTTGATAAATTGAGTTAAGAAAGATGACAAATTCGTTAATGAACGAACATTGAACACCATTTTCCTAAAAATATTGTAACGTACTTTGGTTAACGTAGCGAATTTCCAACGACACAATACATCCCTAATACTAGCCTTGATTGTCGGCCTCGTTAAAATCTTTAACAATAGAACAACCGCCAGACGATAACTACACGCTCTCGTAAGCATAAGTGGTCCAAGTGGCCGTAGTGGTTGTTGGCTTTATGGAGCTCTCCATCAGAAACGGTCAGGTGACGCGTCCTTGAGGGTCACTTTGGTGTCACATTGGTTGTGGAAACAATGGCCCATAAAGTAAAACAACACCTGTAACCGACTGAGTGTGAACTGTTTGGAGGATATGCGTGCGTATACCGCTTCGTCTGGATTTATTTGCCATTAAATTCTTATAAACATTGCATTTGATTCGTTCCAAGCCACCATAAGTCACGATATCGTACAGCCTTCAGGGATCAGCGTAAACAAATGCGGTTTAAGGACGTCTTTGTTGTGGCAAAATTTGCGTTTGCAATTTTATTGTTTTCGGTTTATCTCAAGTAAATGGAGTTTCATCCTAGGATATTGCCTTTTTGATCGATTTCCCTTAGTGCACCTACCTGGACCAAGTGTGATAATATTTAGATAGAAGTCATGATTAATCCTGCTTTGATTTAACTGAACATAGTAATAAAAGTTGGAACCATCCTGTTCAATGTCAATATTTCAGAAATGTTGGGCGCGTAAGTTAGTAGGTACTACGTAAATTTTATTAACTGACAACTATAGGTGTGTTGACCTTTAAACTTGCACTATAGTCCGCATTATTTTGTTATGAAATTTGTTTATATAACCGATAATAAAAATATAAACAGCTAATTCAAGGCAAAAAGTACGGTAAAGGAAGAAGGCGAACTTGTTTCAGTCTGAATAATTTGAATAATACAATAATGTCCGTTAAAAGTATTATAAATACAATTATCTTTAAAATGAACTGCAAGTTATATTGGTTCTGGTTGGTAGTTTAATTGGATTGGATTTAAGTTGTTCGTTTGCGTATCAAGTCCATCAGTAATTGCTGGGACTGGTTCCTTATTCTTCTTATTAACGAGAATGATTAATGAAGCAGTAGCCCGACAGTTTTTGGTAATTTTGGAAAGGAGCCATCATAATTTGGAAGACAAATTGCTGAAGCTGCCGATATTGAACCACATCCTTCCACATTTTAAAATTAGTGTACATCTTTTCTCATGACACTACCTGAACTTATTTTCATCGGTTGCTACTTCAAAATAATTTCGTAAATCGTTTTTAGTATATATTTTTCGCAATGAGATGGTTTAAATTAGTAAAAAGATTGAAACTTTCCAGTTGTGTTAAAATAAGATCGAGAATAATTACTTCTTGTGCTTTAGTATTTTTAATGATCTTGATACTGTAACAAAAATTTAAAATTAAGTTCTAGCGATCAGGGACACATCATGTACTAACCAGAGATAAAATCCTTGTGCTGTTATCTAATGCCCCCTCCAGATTATGCGTGATTTAATTTATAGTTCGTCAGTAAGTGTCAATTAGATCAGGAAGATATGCGGGATATCCACTAAGAATGGATGCAAAGTAATAATGATTGATTGGATAAAGCTTTTAGACACAAAAAGACCAGTCAGAACCACTTCAAAATTAATTGGAGAAAGCTTTGTGTAATGGGCGTTGGTTCGTTGTTTTGTGATGGGCGAAAGGGTACGAAATGAAACGAAAGAGTATACTAACAAAACGAAGCTATATTTCAATTGCTCCTCATATATTTTTATGTTATTTTTACAACAAATTTACAGTATTTATTTTATCATTAAATCTATAGTTACTCTAGCGCAGAAGAGTTTTGTACTGGGCAAATGTGATATACTGAGCATTCCAAGACCCAGACCAATTAATAAGTGTATATGTTAAACCAGTACAATACAATTCTCCACGTATATATTAATATATAAAAATTATATTTTGAGATCATAATCTAAACATCACAGATGTTGAAAAAATATATTATTTAATATCTCAAAATTTTTACGAAAATATAATATAAGCAGAATTGTCGAGATCCGCAACCCTGCACATATAAGTTTGTCTAAAGATAGTCGAGTATCATACCTCCGTTCCAACAGAAAAATATCAAAAAGGGTTTTAATTTGATGAAAACCGATTCTGGTACTTTTGATATTACTCGACGACAATTCATCATAGCAAACCATCGTTGAAGCCCTAGTCATCCACAAATCCGAAACATGTACGAGTAAAACAGTTTTATCGACAAACGAGCAGGCAAAGCTGCCAAAGAATAATTCTGCAAAATTTTAATACTTTGTACTCAATTTTTCTTTGGGCTATTCTCCAGATAACAGTATTTCTGAGGCAAAATTGAAATATCGAAATTTTCAAAATTCCGAATATTTAACCTAATTTATCTACTCATAATAAAAATATTTTATTAGTGTATACCATATAGTAAAAAATAGGAAATACATTTCCAACTTCCACTGCCTTATATTTTTTTATTATAAAAAAAATCTTTTAAAGACCAAGATTTGTACCTGAATATATCACATGTTCCTTATGTACTTACTGGTCAATTTAAAAAAAAAAGAAATGATAATTTAGTACTTAAGGTTATTAACCAGGTTGTAGCATCAAAACATGTTTTTTTCTTACTAGAAATCATCAAAACACCATTGAAGAATATTGTCAGAAACTATTGACGTCTGAGAGGAAAATTGCAGCTTTGTTTTTAATTAGCAAAACATTTTTCGCTTTATTAAACATGTTTTATACAGGTTCCTTCACATCAAGCGTATACTGACACTAACACAAAATAAGCATGTGATAAAAATATAATAAAGACAATCCGTCTACTTTTTAAATTTTAACTCGACAATAGTTATTGTCAGTATATTTTATATCCGGAGATGGGTCTGTCTCTGGCGTTAACATAAATTTCTTAGAATTTAATTATCTACAAGATTGGTCTCTTGCATTTTCCCGAAACTATTTTCCAGATATTCAAGGTCAGTGTTTCAAAAACAAAGTTTTCTCGCGAATATCTGGCGCCCAACGCATTGGACAGTTGAAACTGTGTTGAATATCTCGAAAAGGCGAAGTTTTGGGGGAAATTGCAAGGGCCCAATCTTGTAGATAATTAAATTATCTTCAAATTCAATATCTTGGGTAGTCATGTTAACGTGACATGTTAATGAACCAACTTTGACGAACATTGAATACCATTTTCCTAAAAATATTGTAACGCTCTTTGGTTAACGTAGCACAATAGTTATTGTCCATATGTTTTATATCCGGATGGATCTGCCCCTGGCGATAACATAAATTTCTTAAAAAATTGAATTGAAATTTTGCCAGAATATGCTAAATATGAAGCTTCATACACCCATATTATTTAACTTAAGATCTGTTTTGATCTTGGTAGCAATGATTACAATGGTAGAACAGTTTGAAAACCTTTTAAAAAAAGTTTAAACTTTAAAGCCAAAATCGCAAAAATCACAACATGGCTAACCAAAATATAGAAGGTTAAAGTTTTTTGCAAAAATCTCACGTTCGAAATCCATAAGGCCACAGTGAAAGTTGTAGAGAATTTAATTATTTACAAGATTGGTCTCTTGCATTTCTCCCGAAACCATTTTCCAGATATTCAAGGTCAAAGTTTCAAAACCAAAGTTTTTTCGCGAATATCTGGCGCCCAACGCATTGAACAGTTGAAACTGTGTCCTTGAATATTTCGAAAAGGCCAGATTTTGGAGAAAATTGCAAGAGACCAATCTTGGAGATAATTAAATTATCTACAAATTCAATATCTTGGGTAGTCATATTGACTTGTGATTTATGCGGATTTGGATTTGACACCTCAAATAACGTTTATGTAAAAATTCAGCTCGGAGGGAATTATGTCGAGGTTTCCTCCCGTTTTCGTTTAATTTCCTTTTGGCTATTCATACCACGCATTGCAAGGACGTGAGCGCTTCCTAGACAAATTGGACACTTGGCTGTTTCTTCAAAGGCGTTCTTTAAAAATATACACAAGTGAAGAAGCCTGTATATTCTACTAATTCTTTAATAAGGGAGGTAATGAGAAAACTAGGCGAAACCATAGGTGTTTTTACTTCTATGAAATTAATTTATTGCCTGTAACCAATCACAATTAACAATTTTGTAGAACATGATAACCAAAAAAAAAATTAGAATAATTTGTCGGAACCGCCAATAATTTCTGAGTATTCATAACAAAAACATATAAGCTGTAAATTTTCTTCTTAAATTACATTAAAATAATACATTGGGTATTCCGCATCTTAGGATGATGATTCAACAGTTCTGTACTTAATGAAATGATGCATGCGAAATTGTGATGGGATCTGAAAACATTTGAACAAATAGTTAACTTCATTTTATTTACAAACGACCTCGAAGGGTCAACCATTGCACACAAGCCGACATATTTGCCCAAAACCAGATGGATCGTGTACGTTCACCTTAACGAAATAAATAAAATATATCCTCTGAAATTTCTGTACAATTTTTTTAATTCTATGCCTTAATATTTAGAGATCGAAAAATAAAAAATACGGTTAAAGTGAACGTACAAAAGCTTATTTTAAATGTCAGGGAGTTTACTTATATATTTTTGTTACTAAAGCGAATTGTGATGTGGCTGAAAATTGCGTAGAAATACATAATTCTAGCTATCGATGACTGAAAGCGTGTGCGTTAGAATTAAAGAAGATAACAATGATAAAATTAATACGTTCCGATAAACCTACTTACAAATTACAAAAAAATAATACGGCTCTCTTAAAAAATACCTTTTTTTAAGTAGAATTTCGGTTGTTAACCTAAAAATAATTTTTGTACTGAATGACGGCAGTTACCCGAATATCACGTCCCAAAAAAATAGCTAGAACTACTACTTCGTGAGCGTTCCAGTGATATTTTGATGATTTCGATACCCACTTTTATGTATGAAATACAAGAAATGAGTCTTAGGTAACCCACATGAAAAACCACCAACAAATGAAAGATTTTGGAGATCAAAAGAAAGAAAAAAAAACTCTACTTTAAAATAAATACATAAAGTCTATAAAAAGACAAACAAAATATAGTACTTAAACTGTACAAAAAACTTATAATTAATTAAATTTCTTTCAAGAAACAAAACTTAAAATTGTACTTTACATTAATATTAAAATAATTTTTTCGAGATCGAGATTTGTAACAACAAAGTGGAAGAAGGTTGAACGCGTTGTTCCGTCTTTTAACTTGTGGTGTCGTGGAGCCTCGGCACTTTCGCCGGCCGCTCCATGGGTGCCCAATCAGGCTTTTTTGTTGGATCGGATGTTGACCGCTTCTTTTCCACCATGAAATCTGGAAAGAAAGAGACATACGTTAACTCGAGAATCATACATTAAAAAAAATAATCGAAATACAATAGAAATTAGTCACGAACCATCGATTAATAGATTTTTAGTTGTTGTGTTTTGTTGCCGCGCTATTGCTCGGTAGATATGAATTCTCGACTCCAGTCGATTACTTGTCTGTGACTGGTTTTTCAAATACTGGTACAGTCTTTCTGAAGTCAGTTGAACATGTATAAAAACGCCTAGCAATAAAATTTAATGAGTTTCATAGGCGTCCCTAAAAAGGTTTTGCATGTATGTATAACAGTTAGTGCGAAAGGTACTAATAAAATGTTCTACGAATTACATCAGGATTATGGAAACATAATTTTTGACATGTAGACAAATATTCCGTTGTTTGTTTACTTTTCTCCGAAAGGTAAAACCTTACCAAGTATGTTACAACATAAAAAAATTACTAGGAAGATGAGCCGTAAAAGTAGGTAATTAAAGAAACTTAAAAACGTTACATTGTAACTTTTATTACGCCACATTATAAAAAGCATCCTCAAACGTTCCATCACGGTACCTGGTTTGACATTTCGGGGCTTCCCCGTTCCCGTCACACGACAGCATTTCATTAGGTCTTTAATAATGTGCATACCGAACAAAACATTTGTACCAAAGATGCACACACGTAAAACGTTGTAGTAAACGAAAAAACGACAATAAAAAACCGACATCTGTGGCACTACGTTGTTTACTATGGAATGTCAACGGCCCTACGGTAGCGCGTATCCCACTGAAAAGACGCAGTGCGTAATTTAATCAGTTCCAGTTAAATGTGCCCTACCCGGATATGAACTAGGTCATATGGTCGGTAAATTATAATACGAGTACGTATTCGAAACGTGAGAACTCAGCTAGGAACCCATGTTGTGAATCCACGGCCCATTGTGACGTCCGAGACGGTGTCAAATTTAACTAACTTTCCAACGGGAACAAGTCCCAATCGCAGGATGGTTTAAGCAAACTAACTATATTCAATGTCGGTCTTATTTTTTTATACATTTCAAAACAATCTTATTGGCGAAGCACTGCAAACTTCGTTAACTGAAGTTTTCTGCAAGACAATGTTTTTTAGAAAACAAATAAGAATTGTCTTTATTTTTGTCTTTGTCCATGCAATATTTTGCGGAAATGTTGTTCATAATCGCCTCAATAGAACCTTAAATTGAACACTCGTCATTTTTCAAAGCAGAAAGAAGATAAAACTCTTAAAGCAGTGATTAATGTTCCAATTACCTAAATGGAGTTCTAGGTTCACATAATTTAACCTATAAAATGAGATATGAGAGTGAAGAGCAAAAGTCAACTATCAAAACTACAAGCAACACGTCTCAGTACAGAACAACAGTTGAAAATGGTAATGTATTATGTTTAATTATACGGAGTGTAACACATTGGTATAACGTACTTTTTGGTTCCTATTTGTTTGACAGACATTTCAACAATATCCTCAATACAGTCCAGTCATTGAAGGCAAAATACGGCGTTATTGTATAATTTTCCTAAATAGCACCGATTTGCTCCGAAATTTGGATTTAGTTTCTACTTACCCTATACTTTAAAGTTGACCCTGAGCCGGGGGTTGTTTTTTTAAAGTAATTATGATGAATTGAAAATTGTCAATCCCTAAAGACCACCCCTATGACAGTAATCATTAAAAAATAATGTTAAAAAATATTATTCAGCACCTTGGAATAATTTAATCATATAGTGACATTAAATTAAGATTTCTTTACTGTTTCAATTTTTTATTATTTATTTATAAGTTTTAACCCTTATAAAAACCACCCCTTGTAAAAAAAACGAACAATTATAGTTAAATTTTCTTTTTAGTTCAAAATATAATACAATATTTTGATTATTTAAAATGTAATGTATTTATTTTCCCAAACCTTAAAAAAACCCTACTGATAAAAATTTGCAATCAAAAATAGGGAAAATAAGAATTTTATTTTTATATGGATTTTAATTTTTTTATTTTTATAACAATTTTTTTTTATTGCAAATAACATAAATAATCCTCTTCACTCTCGTCTTAATTTTCTATTCTATTCCTAAAATTCCTATTTCTATTCCTAAAATATAGCTGTAATGTGTATTAATCAATGCTTCAATATACGTGTTCTGATATCTGCAAAAATATATGATTGGTTTTTTTACCCATAACTCGCTTAATTTACATTTTGTAGATTTTTTCATGGGCTATAAGATCAAATTTCAAATTTAAATATCCTTTCAGCTCTTATTTTTGTAAGGATTCAAAAAAGCAGAACCTACAATTTTATACTCTACAATATTTTGCGTATCATTAATAGTTTTTGAGTTATTTTGAAGAAAAGACAATATTTTCCAAAAATTCTTTTTTCACTTCAAGCCCAACTTTTTTCAAAACTTTAAACCGGTCAAACTTCTAGAGCATATTACAAGTACATAAATAAAGTAAATTGTAAAATGGTAACGATTATTTTCAATTGGGGTGGTAATTAGGAGGTGATTTTCATGTGTTTTGTCGCCGAAAAAAAATTTGGACCAACTTTATTTTCGTCATAACTCGCATAGGTTTGATGACTTTTAATAAAAAATAAAAATAAAGGTTTTTTCAAGCACTTTAAAAAAGGTTCGACGAGTATTCCCTAAAAAATGCATTAGTTTTTGGTTATATCACAATATATCAATTTCAATTAAACATTTTTCACCCCCGAGAAGGGGTGGCATCCACCCCAAGGTAAAAGCAACCTAAATCCAAATTTTTATGAAAATCGGTACTGTTTGGCAAAATTATAAGGGAAACTGGACTAATATTGTTTGAAGGATTTTTGAGCGTCTACATCTCTTGTATCTTCACCTAGCAGCAGTACGCACCGTGAGAACCTGTGCGACTCAGGGTCCGTAATTGAGCCCAACGCCACGTGTGCAGTTATTACCATTATTATTCATGGCAGGGCCGGGGGTTTTTAACTTGTGGCGTGACCTTAACTTGTACGTTGCGCGCCGCATCCCAGCTCAAAGAAAGGAAGGGTGCGAATCGGGTCCCTCGACCAAGATGCTGACCCCTTGTTTGATGGACGTTTCCTCGTCACTTGCTGACAGTTATAGTTTGCGGAAAGGGCGCTAGTAATAGAGGAGAGGGACAATGGGGCTAGGTTTGCAGAAAAAAGATTAATTGCCTCATTGTTGGTCCCGTTTCACGGGTTACCGGTTTGAGATCGTTCTAAGAAAAAGACTGGTGAAACGGATGCATTCGCTTTCGTATTAGTTCGGGAATTCTAATGGGATTCCTTCTCGCGTTTCTCGTTAGTCGTCAGCGGAAAATCCGCGTGGACTTATTGGATAATTCATCTAAAATTCTTGAAAAGGGTATTAAATAATGACAAATCTTTTCACACAAACTTTTACTATTAACATTAAATACAGTGTGTGAAAAGTACTACTAAAAAACATTACAGATTTATCAACAACGCGATAAAGTAATCTTTTTTTTTCATAAATCCCATACCCATACACGATATTTTATAAAAAGAATTTCATCATCAGAAAAAAGATAAGTGTGTTCATACATATTTCTAGTGTCCGACAAATTCTAGCGGTGTTTAATGATATTGCTGGTGTAATCCAATGCTAGTCGGTAGAGTAGTTGTTTCCTGCAATATCATTTCATTTACTTCCTGCAATACCCATATTCCCCCTCCTTGGGATGGGTAATGTGCTTGGAATGTATGTGACATAAAAAAATTAAGTTGTGTACTTACAGTTACTGATATTATTCATTGACCTAGAATTAAATTGCCCCATTTAAATTAAAACTGACTGTCCTTCAAGTCCACTTAATTGAAGCAAACGGTAATGTATACAATACAAGATTCACAATAGTTTTAGCCTCGGTCTTAGCATAAACTATGAAATTTAATACGTTTATACAAGTATAATATTTCAAACTGACATTGATAATACGTAATTTTCGTATTTATGAAATATGTAAGTGCGAATAAATGCGAAATATGGAAGTAATTCTTCTAAATTTTGCAAAAGCGGCAATTCAAGGTTTATAGAGTCCTGTAAATAGTGTTGATGTGGAGCGAGTTTTCAGTACTTACAACATTGTCATCACGGATAGAAGGACTAGGTTGTTGGACAAAAAATGTAGAAACGACAAAATGTTGGCTTTCGATTAACAGTGAGATTATCTGATACATATGGGGCATTCCACGCCAAATCGACCACTTTTCACCCAGACCCCTTTCGATTTGGCTGAAACTTTTTTATTGTTTTCTACCCCATTGAAAATCTCTGAAAATTTTTTCAAATTTTTTCACCCGTCATAAAAAGTTATGAATTTTTGAAAAAAATAGCTTTATTTTCTTTAAATAACCATAACTTTTTCAAAAATTGAGTTATCGGGACGTTGTTTTTTCAAAATTTTTGTTTTAATGTACTTTTTGAAAAAAAAATAGATCAAAATTATCTGGACCTATCTTCATTGTTTTTTACTTCAGTTTTCGAAAAAAAAACGAAAATTTCTTGATTACCAATTTTGATTTTTTTTTTCTTGCAAAAAACTGTCATTTTTTATAAATCCTCAAATTCTTTCACAAGTGGTTTTTTCGTTCTCTATTTTTTTTTTTATTGAAAATTTTTTTTTTTTAAATTTTGTTTATATCACACCATTTTGAAAATGTATACCTATAGAATTCCAAAATTGAAAAAAATTATTCTATGCAGCGATTGATGACAATTTCAAAAAGTCAAAAGAGGATGGTTTCAAAATGATTTATTCGAGTTCAAATGCGTTGCATATCTTTTTTTAAAGCCCACTGTTCGTCCAAAAATGGACCAAATAACAACTTTTTTTTTCATTTTCTTTGTGTAGTTTTCGAAAAAAAAATACAAAAAAATTATTCAAAACGATCTATTTTTTTCTTCTTTTTCAAAAAAAATCGAAATTTTTTTCATGTTTACCAC